TCGATTCCATATACTTTCCTTTTTCTCACCTGCGAGAATTATATTTTAATCTTAAACAGCTGAATTTTTTCCTTCTTTTTATACTGCATTTTTTAAAAATTAATTAGTTGCACATCTCCAAAATACCTAACTCACCCACCTCTAATACACGTGTATCTATCTCGCATACCCCTTCCGTTCACCGCATACAATAGCGACGTGCATCATCAGAATAACACGTGATGAGATCAACCGCTAAAGCATGTAAAATGTTGGACATAATATTTCCAAGACCCCGACCCGTCTCGAAATGTATGGTTAGAGTAAGGAGCGGGGGTTCTTGTGGTCTAGAGGTTAAGGAGTTCGCCCCTCATTCAATAGGTCCTGGGTTCGAATCTTGAAAGCGACGGAAAATTTTCTTTTCTAAAATGTTCTTTCACCTCCCACCTCCATTCCTGCTCTCTGGCAATGATCTGTCGGATATGTTGTCTCCACTTTTTGCCCCCATCTCCTCTCCTCCTTTGCCCCCTCCGCTGGGCTCCTGACTCTGTCTGCAGCCTTTCTGCTGCTACTCCTTGGCTCCTTCTCACTGCAGTTTTTCAGCCACAACCCTGATCTTACGGTAGGAAAGATATACACCTAGCCTTCTCGGATAAGGGCGAAAATTCTCAAAGGTCCCGTGTACCCCCCTGGGGCGGTGCCACTGACTAAAGTGTCTTTAGGCCATTCCCAAAGGGGGGACATTTCTCGTTCATGCACAGTAGAATTGTAAATGGGTTGACTCATCAATGTCATGCTCATAACTGTGCCTGATCTACAACAGGGAACTGCTGCTTTTTTTCCTAATCCTTACTATTGTCAATTTTCCTCTACTTCTTTTGTATGTTTGTCACACTCTTGTGGCCAGCTATTTCTGGGGTGCCTTGAAAGTCGAAACAGACTTTGTGCTGTAGAAGCTAGAGAGGGGAGCAGAATAAGCCCGATTCCCTGTAAAGACTTCTCTGTTGACATCCACCCCTTGGTGCTCATATGACCTAATGCAGTTGCGAGCGCCGTAAAACCTCTACTAAAAAATAAATAAAAGGTCCCGTGTGCACGTTATGTACGTTAAAGGTCCTATGGTGTTCCAAAATCGTTAAGGGTTGGCTTCGGCCGCCACCCAGGCAAAATTAAAAATTTCCTTCCGACTGAAAATGTTTAGTGTGTCCTGCACGCTCATGTGAACTTATGCGGTTGCGAGCGCCGTAAAACACCAAAAGAAAAAGAGTAAGGAGTAGGCCCGGTTGTACAAGGGTGCTTCCATGTTTCATAAAGTCTCTATGTTTGCACAGTTTACAGGCATAAAGGCTCATTGCTTCTTTGTTTGATTTTAAAAGGTTTGTTGACCGTGTCTCTCCCTCTCACAGCCATCACTCAATCTGCACTCTCGCCCCCCCTCCCATCTCTCTCTCTCTCTCTCTCTCTCTCTCTCTCTCTCTCTCTCTCTCTCTCTCTCTGTCTCGGCCTCAGTCCTGGGGATCTTTCTCTCTCTCTCTCTCTCTCTCTCTCTCTCTCTCTCTCTCTCTCTCTCTCTCTCTCTCTCTTTCTCGCTGGCTTTTTCCTTCTTCATAAATGTATTTGTTTCCCTTGCTCTCGTTAGCGATACAATGAGCTGGCCTCACAGACACGATGTTTGTGTTTGCAAAACATTGCCCCACCCTCTGCGATCTAAGTCTTCCTTTGTTTTTCTCTCACACAAATACAAATGCAATTACTCGTAGTTCCATGTCATTGGGCAAGATCTAGATCCATACAGAATACCAATTTCCAAACACATGAGCAAACGTGAAAAATTTATAAATTAATCAAACTTAAAACCTAATCAATATCTCAGCTTCATATTAAGGTTGTATAAACGGGAAATATGGTGGTATGAGACACTTGAGAGCATTGTGAAATGATCCTACACAGTTATTTCAATATAGAACAATACATTATAAATGATACTGAACTTGTTATCTTGTTTGAAAAAGAAAGGACTATAATTAATTGGTAACATAGAAAGTTAAATAACGCGAAACACCGTTCCTCTCCTTGGTCTGATCCATAATCCTGCCCAAAAAAGCCGAAGCCAGGCCAGTCTCGAGGTTCAAACTTCAAAGAGACTAAAACAGAACCTAGACGTGGACGTCTGTGGCCTCTATAAATAAAGCATTGATGGTTATGTCCTCAGACCTGGCAGTGAAGGCGTTAAATCTAATAAATGAAACATTTCAGACGCCAACTCTACCCTTCTGTAATCTTTTACAAAACTTGAGAACTATTTCTATTTTTAGGCCAGTTTCAAGGACGTTGGCCTTTCCCCATCTCTATACATTGTTCTCTTACATCCAAAAAAGGTGCATCGCCAGGGTGCATATTACTACAAAAGCTAAGATGCGCAAGATGGGATAATAAGGAGAGAGGCGTCCGATGGAGTTTTACCAGAAAGCGCAAGCAAATCTAGTTAGAGTCTAGCTCGCGACAGTGCCGCCAAGACTCAGCTGAATTAATTCAGTTTGCTAGCCTAGACAAGTTTCCACTTTGACTTTTTTTCAAAAATGTATCTTCAATCGCCAATAGCTTTCTTCTCGATCAGACGTGTGACGGGTAATTCTAAAACTCGTTTTCTTGGATAGGATGTCTCAACTCTCCAAACAGAACTCTTTTGCTGGAGATTAGTCAAGAGTGCAAGATACCGATTCAAGGACAGAGGTAGAAATATGCTGCCTTGTTGTCCAAGGAAGAAAAATGAAAACACATTTCTCCAATCTTTCATATGTGCGTGTTTTGTTATTTGTTTTATTTTGTTTGTTGTTGCTTTGCTCTTGTCTTGTTTGAGGTAGTTTGTTTTTTCTTGGGATTTTTATTTGGGGGGGGGGGGGGTAGGATAACTAAGGAGACAGGCGAAAGATAGCACAAGACGGTAATCCTTTTTTTTAGAGCGGAGGAGGAGGAGGGTAAAAGAAAACGTAGAAGAAAGTAGATTAAAAACATTGGAACAAAGAATGTTTAAAAGGAGGAACTTTTTTGCCGAGCACAAGCTAATAGACATAAAATCTCGGTAGCTAATTATGTGCCTGTTTTATGAACTCTGCTGCATGTCAGCTGCACTATCCATATTATTTGTATTTTCATTTTCTTTCTCCACATCATTCTTTCTTTTTTCCGTTCTCTCAGTCTCTCCCTCTCTCTGTCTCTCTCTGTCTCTCTGTCTCTCTGTCTCTCTGTCTCTGTCTCTGTCTCTGTCTGTCTGTCTCTCTCTC